TACTCCTAAGTCATCTGTTACCTTCCTCTGCAGTATACCAAGGCGATCCTGGCATTTTAATGTAATTTATTATAAGCCATTTTTTTTTTTTTGGTCCATGTTTAAACCCAATCAGCTAAACAAACTATCAGAACCCTTTCCAACACCTCAAATTTACATCCAGAATTTATTCTTAGTGGGACAATATCAATCAATTTGACTTAATTTTTGTGCCTTCCAGCATTATCTAACATCATGAATATCCATTCCACACATAGTCCCCAGAATTTTGTCTGTATAAATTGAAAAAATATACAATGATTTTGGAGTGGAACACACCTTTAATGGGTTAAACTTTGTATCTCACCTTTTTTCACCTGTTGCCACTTGAGTCTACTTATACCTATAAAAGGAAAGAGGATTGGTGGTGTTGGATCCTCAGGAGAATCAGCATTGTCTTTAGGACAACCACCTCAGCAAAGGCCATCACACTACTACCAAAGAAGACTCAGCAGAACTTAGGGGTTCACTGAGCCCAGCTTCATCACAGACTTCATATATGTCTTCATTCCAATATTCAGGGTCCCATTTTTCCCAATGTCTGTGTTTAACAGAAGAAACTTTGCTAGGCTGGGGGTTTAATTTGTGATGTAATTCAGTGACTAGCAGGATGAGACTCTGGGCTTACTGTTCAGAAATCTCAGGCTTGTGACTATAGGAGATAAAGGTATAATCTAAGACAGGCATAGGCATTTTCAGGTCATATATGAAGGTCATAGGCTAGAAATTTGAAATCCTAGGCTCACCCTTTTTCTCTCTACTTTCTATAGCATGGTTAAGAGCAAAGAGCCAATCTTATTGCACTCATTATTTGACAGAACTGTTCTAAGTTATCAAATACTTGGTCACTGAGAACCTTGCCTTATCAGTACTTGAGTAGTAGTGTTCGGTGGTGATATTGTGTGTATCCGTATTGCCTTTTTGTGCCATGGTCTACCAGTGTTCTTGTTAATACTGGAAATAGAGTCTTAACTGCCTTTAAATCTAATTAGATTACAGAATCAATTCCTGAAACCTCAAAACTAATTCAAAAAACTCATTCTTAGAATTCAGTTCCTTCAAAACCACTGTTGGTAACCAAATCTATATCAGTCATGGTTCTACAGAAGAATGGAAGCACTATGTATGTGGCTAATGTGACTGGGGGTCAGCAAGTCTGAAATCTACATCAGCCCAGCAGGCTGGAAACTCTCATGCAGAAGCTGCTGATGCAGTCTGGATGCAGAATTTCTTCTTCAGAGCAAACTCAAGCTTGCTTCTGAGGCCTTTCAACTTATTTGATGAGATCCACCCACATTATTGAGAATAGTCTCCATTATTTAAAGTGAGTTGATTATATATATAATCTGCAAAGAAACTTCACAGCACCACCTAGATTAGTGTTTGATTAAATGACCAGACTCTGTAGCACCTAAAGCTCACCACCACAAATATCAATCGCTTATTTGACTCACAGGTCTACAATGTGGCTGTGGCAGCTCTGTCCTGGGCAAGGATGTAAGGGTAGTTGGACTGCACCTTGCATTCTGTGGGTCATATAAGATGTTTGGCTCTGTGTGTGTCATTTTAAGGCCAGACCAACAGGGCAGCAGCTTCTTGGGGAAACTGTTCTCATGCAATTGCAGGAATGCTAGAGGGCACGGGAAACATGTGAGGTCTGCAGAGAAACTAGCATATGGTCATTTCTCTCCACCCATCACTGGGGTAGACATAAGTACTTTTGATAATAAGTGCAGTCTATATGATGAAAGGTAAAATAAACTATGCTCTAATGGATAAAGTTGTTTCCCACAGGCCTGTGGGTTAGCATTTCTTATGACTATACGTGTATACTGGGATTGCACAGCTGAGCACATGAATGGTTGGTTATTGGAAACTAGGTTTCTCACTGTCAGAGACTTAAGAAATATTTAATTGATTGTATGACACATTCAGTTTCTACTGAAAATGACCAGTCTATTTCCTTTCACAGCCAATAGTAATAATTTATCAGTGACAACATGGTGACACCTCTTAGCCTATTCTACCATTTACCTAAACAAGCATTCATCAATCTTGTACAGTAGAAGTTTACAGATAAGTGAAGAAAGAAGACTAGAATAGCACATGTGGTTGCTATTAGAGGTGGAGCATCACTAATAACTGTTGTCCAGCTTGATATAGATGCAGGTAGTTATATAGGGACATGTCTATCGATATGTGCATGCTAACATGGGTTAGTATACACACAGATATTTCTTTGCTCTGTCAGAAGAGAGGTCCTAAAATAAATGATTGGCTCAATCAATAAATGGTGGAAAACAACTCTGTCTCCTGTGCAGAGTAATCTCAAATAATTTATGAAGATAGGTCAGCCTCAGGAATGGGAAGCATAACCTCCAATTCCTTAGGTGTGAGGTACTCATAGTAACCTCTTTCCAACCAGTATTGCGTGGAGAGAAGAGGAAAAAAGAACTTTACAATAGAAAAAGCTGACAAACACTATGTCAGCGGGATGATAAGATTAGCAAGCACTCGAGTGTTAAGTCGTATTGCTCACACGTATCCTTGATTGAATGGGATGAAAATGGCACTTTACTTCTGAGATCTTCCCCCCTCCAAAACCACATTACCACACTATAATAACTACAAAGAACATCAGAATAATCCCAATGGAAGAATATCTTACAAATTCCTGACCAACATGCCTCAACACTGCCAACGTCTTTAAAAATAAGCAAAGTCTAAGAAACAGTCACAACCAAGAGGAGCCTAAGGAGTAAAGAGGACTAAATGTAATGAGGTGCCTTGGAAGCGATCCTAGAACTGAAAACAGACAATAGGAAAAACAAGGAAAACACAGATGAAGTTTAGACTTTAGATAGTAATAATGTATCAATAACAGTTCATTAATTGTAATCAATGTGACAAACTAATATAAGAATCTAACAGTAGAGAAAAATGGAAGTGGAGGACTGTCAGAAGAAAAAATACAACAATTGCAGTGAAATGATTGGATTGGCTTTTATTGTGATTCATGAATCAGGGCAGTATCTCCTTTAAACCTTCAGACAAGATGTTCTGATGAGCTGAGCCCTGGAGGTGGGATTTATATGCAGAAAAGGGCTGAAGGAAGCAGAATAAAAGCCGAAACATAGATTATTCATTACAAAGTTACTTTCCTTTTAGGGTTAAAGCAGAGGGGACTTCTTCTAATGCCAGCTAAAATTGGCCTGTTTGGCTATTTGGCTATCATTCCCTCTTCCAATGTTTTAGAAAAGTCGAACTTCTTGCTTTCAGTTTGGTGATGTGAAGCTTAGGATGAGTAGCTTCATTTTTGATTTAGTCTAGTAGAACCTAAGGTAGGGACTCAATCCAAATCGGTTATCTCCTACACATTTTATCTAACAGTATGTAGATATATACTTATATATCTGTGCTTATGTATTATTTTTCTGAACAAACAACTGATATTATTACCTACTGTTTTGATGAAAAAGAATAGAAGATTAGAATTTAAAAAAGGAAGATTTGCTAAATTGGTAGAAGGTACAGATACAGCACCTGCTCAAATGTGTCATATTATGAAATAATTAAAATTTTAAAATTTATGCATTAAAATTAAATTCAGCATATAAAACAAACATGAGGTTATATTTAGATGGTTGAGTATCCTCATGTCTATTTCTCCGGTTGGTTTTTAGTAGCAAGAAGTTGATTCCAGATGTCTCCTGTTTTTATATAATCAATACATATCAAAATTTTCCTTCTTTTGTAGTAAAAGAATAACTTTACATCAGAGTTAGAGACAAGAAAATATTTACAGGTTCTTCAAATAAAATGTTTAAGAGCAATTTTAAAAACTAATTGTTAGTAATAAAAATTTCATTAATACTAATGAGGCTCACAGTCCACAAGATTTATCTAGGGGAAATATTTAATAGATTATATGATGTGTTTGGTTAACACTGATGATGGCTAATCTCTTTCTTTCAAAGTCAATAGTAGTAATCCATCAGTTCAGTGACAGCATGGTGATACCTCCTACTCTGTTTTACCACACTTACCTGATAAAGCATTAATCAATCTTGTATAATTAAAAAGAAATGCCAAAGAAGGATATAATAGTTTACTCTTCCAAAGGCTGAGAGGCGGAGTAATTTTGAGGAGTATAGAGTCTTCTATTTTGGAATCAACCATTCACCTTACTTTGATGTCTCATTTACTTATCCATTATATTTCGGCTCTGCATTGCTTTGTTTTATAGTGTCTGGGTGTCAACTTTCCGTGACAAATCTTAGTTTTGTTAGGGGTATCAAGTAATGAAAACAAAACACTCCAGAATAATTTTACAAAACCATGTATATGTATTTCAACATACATTCATCATTTAGATATTATAATGACCATAGATGAATCTATTTTAGATATTTTATACATTGATTTTTCTTATTATTCACTCTGACAAATAGCTTGCTTCCTTACATCGTATTGTGAATAAAATTTAAGTTCCAGAGAGAATTATTCATGCATGTAGCTTTTTAATTAAAAAGAGAATGATTAGTCAACCTTTTTCATGAGATAACCATATGAAGGCAATCTTTAATTGCTCTTTTTGAAGTTTCTTTCTCAATTGCAAACTCAGGTTTCACAATGCATGTTGGGAATGAGCGAGAAGAGGTTGATCTGCTGGTACATGGAGTCTGAACGCCTGCTGGCAGGATGGAGAGGTGCCTGGAAATGCACACTCTTCATCACACTGAATGATGGCAGGATATTTATACTTCCTAAAAGCTGGGGATTAAGACTTTTTTCATCTCTTCATTTTCCTCTCTTCAGTATACCCTGGAGCTCTTGTTTCTTACAGGTGGTTGTAAACACAGTTTTCCCACAAGTTCTGCTTCACGATTTCCTCCACTATGTTCGTGTTCTCTCTTACATGCCATGCTGTGCCTAATCGCTTACTATTTCTGTCTTTTCAGACGACATCCTTTGTGGTGCCATAGCACATGGATTTCAGAACCGCCTGTGAGGAGGTGAGTACAGAGCTTTCTGCTTTTCAAACAGGAAAAACAGAATATAAGCAGGAAACACTTGGCTCCAATTTATATAGGGGAAACTCTGCTTTTGGCAGAAGATGGAGAGAGGGGTATGGGCTCTTTTTCTTTCCAGATTATGTTCTCCTTCTGCAAAGATAGAAAACCTAACTGTACATGGAAAGCCTCGGACTTTAACTCTTTCTTTAGGAAGACTGGAGCATATTAAATATAATTGAGTTGGTCCTCTCCACCAACTCTGCACTTTTCAGGTAGTGGAAGTGTTGGAAAGAATTCTTTTCACATAAATGGTAATAAATTAGAAGACATCTAAGGTTCCTTTCAGCCCTATAATTCTATTATTTTATGATTCTGATATTATTTAGGTAATTCGATATTATTTAAGTATTAATACACAGCAATTTAGATTCTCTGTAGAGCTGTCATCACATTTCAGCATGAGTTAAAGTGGCACATTAGTCTTTCAAGGATGTGAAAGAGCGTTCAAGTGTACAGTTCAATAGTGCATGAACATGGGCCCCCAGGGAATATAATCATTCCGTCTTAGGAAGAAAGACTATCTTTTTTTTTTTTTTTTTTGCTAAATATGTAACGTTCAAAACACTGTGTTTTCATTCTTCGGGCAAAATAAAACTACATGCAGCTTAAAAATATTTTATATTTGTTTAAAAGATTTAAGGCATTTTTTATTGTATATAAATGACCCAACAAAAACCAACCATAACTGGATTACCTCTGGTAGTGTTAAAATCAAACCGGGGAAAGACTTCAGTTCTTAACCTTGTGAAGACTGTTATTTTAGTGAAAATGTCATGTGTTCACAGTTCTTGCATGAATTTGTGGAACATAACTCCTTATTTTCTTCTAAAGCAATTGAAAAATATATATTTAAAAATATTTGTCACAGTTGGTACAAAGTTCAGACTGTAAATATAAGGGTTTTTCAGAAAACTAATAAATTGCTTTTATATTTCTGTTCTTATGTTTCTACTTTTAATGCTTTAAGCATAACATTTTAAACATATCTCTATGCTAATACTCATCAATTATAATGCAGTTTACAAACCTTTCTCATGTGCTACACAGAATACTATAAAGTCAGAGTATGTAAATTACTCATCTTTTTAACTTAGCACTTATTGGTTCATATATTTTTAAAAATTGAATTAATGTTCTAGAAGCTTTGTATGTTATATTTTAATTGTATTGTTTCAGGTTTTTTTTTTTTTTTTTTTTTTTTTTTTTTGAGACGGAATCTCGCTCTGTCACCCAGGCTGGAGTGCAGTGGCATGATCTCGGCTTAGTGCAAGCTCTGCCTCTTGGGTTCTTGCCATTCTCCTGCCTCAGCCTCCCGAGTAGCTGGGACTACAGGCACCCACCACCACGCCCGGCTAATATTTTGTATTCTTTGTAGAGATGGGGTTTCACTGTTAGCCAGGATGGTCTCCATCTCCTGACCTCGTGATCCACCTGCCTCGGCCTCCCAAAGTGTTGGGATTACAGGGGTGAGCACTCGCACCCAGGCCATTTCTGGTTTTAATTGCACACTTAATTTTAAATGTAGCAAGTGTTCTATTTCCATTAATATGCAACCCTTATGTCTTGATTAGTAAGGCACTCATTGAAACCCAGTGGATATTTGTGTGAATGAGATACTTATGGGACAAATGACATTCATATGATAGAGACTGGACAGTGGCCAAATACTATTTTAACAAATGGTTTATTTTGGATTTCAGAGGCTGGAAAGATTTACAAGACCTTTTTGTAAACAAAATTGTTTTGATGTACTGATTTGAGATATTTCTCAAATTCTATTAAGATTCAGAAGATTTATTTACAATGGTAATGCTGTGATCACTATGCTAGTTCTTGTAAATTAGTAATCCTTAGTACTGAAAAGAGTGACAATCTGTTACTGAGATAACAATATACAAGAGGAAATTAAATCACTTATATGAGATATAGCTAAATATTGCTGAAGTCACTATATGTGATGCCAAAAGACAATCATGATCAATTTTGGGGCAAATATTTACTTAACGGAATCCATGTGTTCAGGAAAGTGAGGAAAGAGGAAATTAAATCACTCATGATTCCTCATTTTTGAATAGAATGATTTCAGAAGGCTTCAAAGAGAATTCAGTCTGGTGCTAGGACTTGAATAACGGCTACAATTTAGTTAAGGAAAAGGCCATGATTAAAAGTAATCCAGGAATGGCAATGTAAATGATGAGGCAGTTTGAAGCACTTCACCTAAAAGAACATTTAGTGCACTACTGCTACAATGCAGTACAGTGTAAGACAAAACGAATTAAATAGTATTTGGCACTTGAAACATGGAAATACTGTGGATGCTTGCAAGAAAATTTGCAGTTCATATTATGGTCTTTGTCTACTTTTTGTAGTTTGTCGTTTTTTACATTTGACATTGTGAATATATTTCAAAATTAAAAGACCTTAAATTTTAACGTTTCATTAAAATACATGTTGTACTTTTTGAAAGACTAGAACATAAATTAAAAGGGTCTTAACTTTTAAGTAGAAAATGGATGACATTCTACTTTTATAAAGATCCAACGTAGGTCCTACATTTAAGAAAGTACAAATTCTTAATAAGTTTAAATGTGAGAGAAGTTAAATGTGAGACTTGTTTAAAGAGTAAACCCACGCAAATTCATAAACATTTTCTTGATTTGCAAAATTTTTCTCCCATTCTGTAGGTTGCCTGTTCACTGTGATGGTAGTTTCTTTTGCTGTGCAGAAGCTCTTTAGTTTAATTAGATCCCATTTGTCAGTTTTGGCTTTTGTTGCCGTTGCTTTTCGTGTTTTAGACATGAAGTCATTGCCCACGCCTATGTACTCAATGGTATCATTTTTAAATTAATCATCCCTTTAAAATTATAAGTTTGGTCTATATTTTATAAAGTACAAAATACGTTCATACAGTATCTATATCACATACATTCCTTTATTTATGTGCAATGGTATGCAAAGTCAACAAAATTTGGAGACAAATGATGTCACATTAATAGAAAGAAAGAAGATAAGTGTGTGTCTTCAGTTTATATTAAAATTTGAGACCAATAATTATGTAGGTGATTTTCAATATCTAAATAATTTGAGTCCACAGATGTGTAAAGACTTTGCAGGTGGGGCTGTTTTAGGTTTGCAGCACCAACCAGCAACTGCTCCCATGATTCGGTCTCCCATTTTTAGCTCTTAAAACACTTCAGGAAGGAGTGGAGACCAAACTTCTTCCTCTATCAGACAGCCTCCTAGTAGTTTGACTTTGGGGAAGACCATCTGTAAGTTCCAGGGTAGTCTCTTACTCATTTTCTCTCTCTAGTGGTCATTGCTTCCATATACGAAGAATAGCTGCTTCAAGTGTTCTTTTCAAAATTATCCACACCCCAATAGGAGATTATTGATAACCATAATTCTCTCCAGTGAAAGATGCCAGTAGCCATGTCACTGTGTACAGGACAACTGGGGATGGCATTCTTAAATAATCTGTGTATGAGGTAAAGCAGGCCGTGCGGTGAAGTGTCCACCTGCCTCGGTTGAATTCTTCCTCTGGGTCCCTCTGCACTTGTCTAATCTGTAAAGGCAGATGGCTGCATTAATTTTTGTTAAGGGAGAAAAACAAATTAATACTTTTTGTCACACAGTGAGCACTATATGAATAATTATTATTAAACAACAAATAATGAAATATATGACCATATTTCATGAGTGAGGATCTTAGTCCAGCAACGCTGATTCTAATCACGACAGTGCCCTGAAATGGAGTTTATCCATCTTCCTGCATCTCCCAGAGAAGCTCTGACTCCAATGCACCTGTTTATCAGTCCCCAACTTCCCTGCTCAGTGCCTGTTTCTGTCAACAGTGTGTTTTAACTTTCCCATTTCTTCTCCGTCTTCTACTCTGCTACAAGAAATACATTTAGAACACATAACAGTGAACGTATTATCTTCTTGCTCACATTTATATATGGCGTCTCCCTTACCGTCCACCATCCGCCCATCATACAGGGCGTTGGCCCGCCTGGTCCTCTCCAGACATCTCTCCCGCAGCGGCCCCTGCTGGACTACACAGGCTCAGCGGCAAGCGCACCCTCATTTTCCTGCATCATCACGTGGCGTGCATTTTCACGCTTCCATATCTTTACTCATGTGTTTCCTCTTGATTAAAATGACATTTGTTCCTTTAATTATGGTTTCCTCAGTTTATTTTTTTTTTTTCAAGACAAACCACACGTATTTCCTATCCTCCATAAACCCCCATCCCTCAAGAATATTAAATTCCTGTCCCCATGTTGCTCCCTTATCAGATGTCATATTGTGGTTTTTTATATATGTACTTTCAAAATAAGTACGAGATCGGGCGCGGTGGCTCACACCTGTCATCCTAGCACTTTGGGAGGCCGAGGCGGATCACCTGAGGTCAGGATTTTGAGATCAGCATGGCCAAAAGGGTGGTGAAACCCCGTCTCTAATAAAAATACAAAAAACTTAGCTGGGTGTGATGACAGGCGCCTGTAATCCCCGCTCCTTAGGAGGTGAGGCAGGATAATCGCTTGAACCCAGGAGGCGGAGATTGTAGTGAGCCAAGATCGCTCCACTGCACTCCAGCCTGGGGCAACAAGAGCGAAACTCCGTCTCAAGAAAAAAGTAAAATAACATAAGGTAAAATAAGTACGAATACTATGAGGTCAGGGACTATTCTCTAATTCATGTGTGATTCTCTGTTAATGCTGCACAGTATTTGCAAAATTAATACATGTGTGGGATTTTAGATGTGTTTCCATGTGCACCAGCTGAATTTTCATGGTAACATGTGTAACATCTCTAACTTCTGGAAACGTATTTTAACCGATCTGTTTTAGCACTTTGTGTGCTGTTTTCTCCAGTAGCTATTTATTGGAATGTGTGTTTGTGAGAGTGTGTGTGTGTGTGTGTGCTTCTGTGATTTATTC